GGATCATCTCTCTGTGGAATTTTTAAGAGACCCTCTAGAATTGTGTATCAGGGATGGAATTCTCTCTTAAACGCTGTAGGGTGGTTTAAAATTCCATGCAAAGGATCTCATCTATACTAAAGGGAATCTATTAACCCCCATCTAGCCTATTGGAAAAAAAAACAAGAAATTTCAGTTGCTACACTTGGCCCTGACTACCCCTGTCAATTTTTGACCTAGATCTTCTCCTCTCAAGGGATTCAAGAAGGAGGATTCTCTCTCCTTGTCCTGTCACGTGGGTCAGGGTCCCCCTTCCCCTATATACGGGCACGGATGGTGGGTCCCCAGGATTCAAAGCATCTGCAGGCTACTGGGTGTCAGTCACTCTTGACAACTTCTATGTCCCATAACCTCTGCTTTTGCCAAGACCTTCTCCTAGCAGTTGTTCCCCCAGAACTCCCCTGATCCGTGGTGGGATCAGTAAAGAACCCTAAGTGTGTATATTACAGTATCTAATGCTTGAGACAGGAACTTCTTTTCTATAAATTGAAATCAATGAAGGAATGTTATATGCTAGCCCATAGTGCGGATTTGATTTAAGTCAGGAAGACTTGATTTAATCATGGTTTTCTACATAAACGTGCATTCTTGTTGGTTGTTATAACCTTAATACATATTCTTCACAACTCAGAGATAAATGTAGGTTTCATTTTTAGAAGGTACACACTATACATTTTTAACTGATTTATTTTGAAAACTTCAGATTAGTTTTACAGCTATATCAGAAAATGAATGGTTGGTTATTTCATTTACCAAAGGTAATTGAAGCAGATATTTATGAAGTCATTGGGAGATGAACTATCTCCAATTCATCAGGTTAATCATTAATATTTGGAGGATTTGCTTGCCATGCTGTATTAGGAGGAGACCATCACCAGACAGACATTTAAATTGTTTTATTTAGCTAAAACAACAACGTTAAGTATTCTAGATTTTTTTCTTCAACAGCAAACATATAATATTTTAACAAAACAAGCATGTCTCTCGCTTCTCACATTTATCTCCAGACTTCTCCTCCCCGTCCAGATCTATTCCGCCCCCAACAATCTTATATTAATTGAACTTTTAGAAACTTTGCCCTTTTAGAGAGAGGTAAGGGATTGACTCTGTGTACACAAATTTTCAGAGAAACAATAGGATTGAGGTCTGTTATTTCTCACCTCTATATATTATTTATTTATTTTAAAACATTTTTGCTGTTAACAAGCATGTTACCTCCACAGACACAAATCCACAGCTTGAGAACTGCAAAACTAAGCATCTCTGATGGTATCTTCTAGACTGAGCACTGAGTCTCATTGGCTAGATAGAAAGATTAACCTAAATAATCTATACAGAAGCCCCTGGGACCCTATAAGATTGAGTCCCTAATCCATGAACTATAGGAACTCATTTACAAAACTTTTCTTAAACATTACATGAATATATTGTCTCATACTATAGAACTGGAATTTATAATCCCTTTTCCATGATGCGATATCTTTGACATGTAATGTATCTTAATTAAAACTATCTTTAGATAGGTTTTTCCCTTAAAAAGCATTTTATCAAAAAATCTGATTTAAATAAAAAAAATCCGATTTTTTTTATTAAAAAAATAATAATTGATTTTTATCCACCCTGCTAGCCCAGGGTGACAATGTTTGGGTCACAAACAATGCTGGAGAATGATTGCTTTGTTTGCTTTTCCAAGGCAATTGATAAGATCATGGAAATGTTGCTATTGACCTCTTGTTTTGTAAAAGCTTGTGTTTACAAAGAACTAAATTTGGGGTAATTTGTGACCTGACAAGACCCCTCTATGGAAAAATAACTAAATTTGAGTTGGAATTGTCTCTTCCTGGCCTCTAGGTTGGTTGTTGCTCAGTATTGAAAGAGGAGTGTTCCTTCTTTGCTTGCTGCAGGGCATTGGAAAGCATGGGAGGTCAGTATCCTAGGAGTATAAGGGCGGAGAAGCTGTCTCTGCAACAACATTGAGAACCACATAGGTCAGTGCCAGTCAGTGTGTGTGTGTTTGGTGGAGTGCTGCAATTAGTGAGGGTTGTGTGCATGTTGGAAGTCGGTGGAGAGGAATACAGCACTTGTAGCAGGTTTGGGGGTGTCCTCCTTTGGGGTTTTAACCACACACTATTTGGTACTAGCTGATTATGCAGTCCAGGAGTAATATTCCTTTTAGTCATGTGCACTTCTATTTGCACACTTCTGCATATATTCTTAACAATTCATTCATGTTAACCATTTAAAATGGCTTCAGAAGTATGTTTATGACTTCCAGATTCTGTTAATTCATCTAGATCCTATTCAAAGGCTCTTAGGGAGAAACAGAACCAGAATTTGGCTAAGTGCAGAGATAGAAGAGAGACAAGAACTCTTAAATAAATTTGGATTCCAGTTCTGCCCGTAACTCATTGTGTGACGTTGGGCAAGTTGCTTAACCTAAGTGTCCGAATCAGAAACATAGGGATCATTGGCCAAATTAATCCCTGGTGTAATTCTGTATAAGTCAGTTAAATCAATGGCTCTCAACCTTTCCAGACTACTGTACCTCTTTCAAGAGTCTGATTTGGCTTGTGTACCCGCAAGTTTCACCTTACTTAAAAACTACTTGCTTACAAAATCAGACACAAAAATACAAAAGTACTAAGCTTGATAAGTTTATGGAGGGGATGGTATGATGGGATAGCCTAATTTTGGCAATTAATTGATCTTTGATTATTAGCAGGTAAATATGCCCAATGGTCTGTGATTGGATGTTAGATGGGGTGGGATCTGAGTTACTACAGAGAATTCTTTCCTGGGTGCTGGCTGGTGAGTCTTGCCCACATGCTCAGGGTTTAACCAATTGCCATATTTGGGGTCGGGAAGGAATTTTCCTCCAGGGTAGATTGGCAGAGGCCCTGGAGGTTTTTCGCCTTCCTCTGCAGCATGGGGCACGGGTCACTTGCTGGAGGATTCTCTGCACCTTGAGGTCTTTAAACCACGATTTGAGGACTTCAATAGCTCAGGCATAAGTTAGAAGTTTGTTACAGGAGTGGGTGGGTGAGATTCTGTGGCCTGCGTTGTGCAGGAGGTCAGACTAGATGATCATAATGGTCCCTTCTGACCTTAAAGTCTATGAGTCTAAAAGTATCGCAGCACACTTTTATTTAAAAATTGCTTCCTTTCTCATTTTTGCCATATAATTATAAAATACATCAATTGGAATATAAATATTATACCCACATTTCAGTGTATACAGCAGTATAAACAAGTCATTGGTTGTATGAAATTTTGGTTTGTGCAGACTTTGCTAGTGCTTTTTATATAGTCTGTTGTAAAACTAGGCAAATCTCTAGATGATCTGATGTATCCCCGGAAGATCTCAGTGTACCCCCAGGGATACTGCCAGTGTTAGCTGGGCTGTGTTCTCTGTCCTAGCAAGTCTGCAATGAAGGGCTGTTCAGTGAAGACATGTTGTCACTCCCTGGGAGTTGTTCTGCTGAGTTGTCTAAAAACAGTCACAGTTTGCTTTTTCCTGTGATCGGGCTGTTATGGGGAGTGTGTGTGTGTATGTGCATGTGTGGTCATTGAGCCAGATTCATCCCTGGTCCAGGGACAGAGAAGGGCCTAGTGTCTTCCGTATTCAGGACCTGCTGAGGGCAGGTTTGGCTCTTGGTGCAGGCTTGGGTAGCTCTGCTCGAACTTGCCTGCTGCACGGTTGCAAAATTGTTGGGGTCCAGCACTGCTCCCCCCACCTGCTATGAAATGCTCCAGTACACTCCCCCCCATCCTAAAATGCTCCCTTCACTGGGGCCCTCTGCGGTGCATGTAGGTGAACTGCCCACCTCACCTGCTCTAAAATGCCCCAGCCCCCACTGCCCTCAAAATGCCTCCTGCTCTGGAGCTTCCTGCAGCATGGGGGAGAAGAAGGGGTGGGAGGGCCAGCTCTGCAGCTCCGTCAGAGGGCCTCTTGTGCCATGAGTATGCCTTGGGCGGGGGCTTACAGCCTCTGTGCTCGCTTACCTCTGGTTACTCAGTGTTGCCAACCCTTGTGATCTGATCATGAGTCTCACAATATCTGGTGTTTTCCTTAAAGCCCCAGCTCCTGGAGTCATGTGAGTATGTGAGACGCTCAGCTTTCGTTTTTATAAAAAGCTTCTCGCCCTCATGGTTGCAAAGAAAAGCTTGAAAAGTCTCAAAGAAAAATGAAAAGAACCCAACATGTATTTTAAAAAAAATATCATATTTTTGCGGCCCGACTCATGAGTTTTGAACATGGAGGGTTGGCAGCTTTTATCCCTGAATCCGGCAATCCCTGGCATGGCTGGTTTGCCAGCATTCAGAGAGGGATTGGATTCCCAGCCCCCTTTTCCCCTTTGAGTGCAAACATGAGTGTCAATGAAAAGCTAATAAAGGGATCACTGGTTCCTGCTATTAATAGCCGGTGAGTCACGTACGGTATGTAAAAGAGACTTGATGGACGTTTTGGGAGGTAATTGTTGTCGGAAGGCTTATGCAGGCGGTGGGGAATGTGGAGTGCTAGGTAAATGGTGTCTGTAAAGGGATGTATAGAGTGAGCGGCAGGTGGAAAGGCAGCGCACCTATAGCTGCAAATGAACTAAGAGGGGATTCAAAGAAAACTGCCACGTAACAGACACAATTTTCTACCTGTTGCATTTTGTTATTGAGAAGAGTAAATTACTCAATGTAGATTTTAAGCTACTTAAATCGAATCTTTAAAATAATTAAAAACCAAATAGGAAGTTGCCATCTTTCCCTGCTTCGCCACTGTCCTGTCGTGTGGCCTTGGGCAAGTCACTTTATGTCTCTGTGCCTGTTTTCCCTCTAGTTAGATTGGAAGTTCTTTGGGGCAGTATCTTTTTTTTTTTTTTACATCTGGGCACTTTTCCAGTCATATGTTCAAGGGTAGATCAGATTTCTTTGTTTTAATAAGACAGTTACTGCAGGAAGGCTGAGCCAGAGAAATGAGGTTTGCATTTTGTTCTGAAAGCAGAGTTTAGTTGTGGAGGAGGGTTTTGCCAGGGGGAGCTGGTTAGTTGCAAATTCACTGGCTCTGGCGACCCTGACCGCCCACTACTACCATGGATGGAGACCCTGAATAGCCTAGCTCCCTCAGGTAGGATCTCAGCTGCGCCACCACGATTCCACTATCCCTGGGGCCCAGGATTGGGGCAGTTCTACTTTCGTTCCCAGGGAAGTGCTGAGCATAGAGTGAGAGGGACAGTGGCAGGAGAGGGGCCCAGGGTGTGTGGGGAAGCGTGGGCCTGCTGCGGCTGGTGAGTAACTCTGCCAGGCGCCCCTGCCGCTCCCCCAGCTGACAGCCGCCTACGCTTCACAATCGGAGCCAGTTTATCAGGAGAGGGGGAACAGGCACTTTGAAGCTTGTTGCCATCTCGGTTGCCGTGGCAGCAGCAGTCCTGTGTTTCCTGACATGGGGAGCGGTGGTGAGTACAGCAGCTGAGCTGAACGAAGAGACGCCCAGGAGATTCAATCGTTCGGGGTCCCCGAGGGCCTGTGGGGAGACTCGCGGATGGGTAAGTCACTTACCAGCGCTCTGCTTGCACTCTCACCAGCGCCTGTGTTTCTCCTGGCCAGAGCTTGCAGCAGAGGGTGCAGCCACTTCGTGTTCACCAGGGCTTGGTCTTTTCCTATCACACACCCTGTGTTGGCAAATGCAGGGTGTTGTGAATAGAGATGGGGTCCAGTTTAGAGCTCTAGGGCCACCTGGGAGCAAAGGTTCCTCCTTCGGACTCTCCCCATGCTGGGAGCTGACGTTGCCAAGGCACTACCGAGCCTTATCTGCCCACTCCTGTTCTACCTCCAAGTCCATGGTCAGAGCCTCCCACCTCCCTCTGCAGCATCGTCGCCTGTGTCACACGTCTACAGGGATGTTTGCTGTGGGGTTGACCAGGTGAGCTCTGTGACTGGTAGGGGAGAGTGGCCTTCAGTCTTGCAAGTGAGGTGGGATATGGGCGTTCCTGGTTTTGAGCTCGTTCGGGGAGTCATCTCCACGAGAGGAGACGCAGTCATCTGTCTGTGGGTTTATGCTGTGCTCAGCGCTGTGACATCTGAGAGAAAAGGGTTCTTATTGGCCTTCACCTCCAGTGGGGCTACCAGCACAGTCCAGGGGAGAGGATGGGGTTGCAAGCCTCCTCCCGTTCCCTCTCTCCAGTGTCCTGATCTTACAGATCTGCCCTGCCGATTGCAGCCAGAGGATCTGCCCCATAGCACAGTGTGCCGATTCACACGGCACCCTGGGAAATGGAACGGAGGATTCTGGGATGTGCTTGGAGGTGGCGCAGTAGTGAGTGACATTGCAGGGTGAGGTATCCCATAAGAATTCCCTCTTTGGGTATCCACTGATTCTTCCTTTTGCTGCCGTTGGTGACAGGCCTCTGGCACTCCACGCCACAGCTGGATTGCACCTCCTCCGTGTGCCATAGATCTGGATCTGTGAGATTCTCCTTGGAAAGGGCAGTATGTGAAGCAAACATCAGTACCTGAGACTAAGCTGCACTGATGACCCTTCAAAAGAGGGCACCCCCCCTCCCTCATACCACCGGGCCATAAATGTCCCACCAGAAGCAGAGCAGCTTTCCTGGCCTGCCGTCCCGGTACAGCGGTGATGGATGCTTCCAGCATGGCACTGTCATGGGGGCCTCAGGCTGGGCTGGCCAGGATCCTGAGAGCTATAAAAGAAGCCCACGGGCATCTCGACCCTGTTCCGTGTCGGAACTGGAGAGGAGCTACACAAACAGCTACCCCTTGTCAGGGGTCCCCTTGCAAGGAGAGGTAATGGGACCAGCCTGACCTTCGTGCTGGGGGACCAGGCATCTCTCTGGGGCTTCACAGGATCCCTGCAAAGGGGTCATTTTCCACCCCTGGCCTTCTGCTTATCATACCATGTGGCTCCTAAGATAAAGCTGGCTGATGTCCTGCCGGTGATGGGTCTGGGACTGGGTTCCTTGACACACTCAAATTGCTCAGAGGGCAATATGCCAGCAATCCCCCGTGATCTCACCTCTGGCATTACCTCTGCCACACCCCAGAGGCCCTCTCCCTCACAAGCTGAACTGCACTGCCATGACCATTCATGGGGTGGCCAGGTAGCAGGGGTTGTTAGTGACTGCTCCCATGTTTCACTGCCTTTGTTCAGGCAACATGCCTGACATTGATGGGGAGTGATTCCAGTAGGGGACGGGTAGAGTGAAAAGGAGAGAGTGTGAGCGTGTGTATCAAGGGGGGATCAAGATCGAAGTGGCACATCCCTGTCCTCTGCATCAGTCTTCTCTTCCTCACCTCATTCAGAACCCTCTGAACGGGACGCCAGGACCCTGGGAGCCCGGCCACTCAAACAGCGCATGGAGAGAATCCAGCAGGGGCTTTTTTAGGCCCAAGCACATCGAAAGAGCCAGGTCCATGAGCCCCTTGCGAGGGATCCACTCCATAGATAGTGGGATGTAAGTTCAGTTTTAAAAGAGCTTGGGATGGGAGGGATCCTGTGGGAATCGAGTGGAATCATCTGTGGTTGAGGGGTGCGGAAAACTTGCTTGTTGGGAAGATTTGCAAGGAATCTTTCATATATAAGTACAGTTTAGTTGGATGGATGGAAGGACAGAAAGAAATACTTACATAGCAGGTCAGATCCTTTTCTTAAGCAATACATTACAACTGGAACTCCCTGCTGCTGTGTGTTACTGGATCAACTTGTTTAATACATTTAAAAATGGATCAGACACTCACAGTCAGACAAATAGCATCCGCAGTCACACTAGGTAAGACAAAACAAGGGCTGTTCATCCTCATGCTTCAGGCCAGAAATTGATTACCACTTGCAGTCAGGAAGAAATTTCCCTGTTGGATATAGCTCTGCATAACTAGGTGCCTGAAGAGGTTTTCTCCTTCCTTGAAAGCATCCAGCATGCAGAGGATTGGATTAGATTAATCATTGGTGGGTTTCAGGCAGGCAATTGCTATGTTCTTACATCACACATCTGGAATTGTGAATTACTGGGCAGAGCTAGTTTGTGTGCAGTAAGTTGTTTCAATCACATGAGTTTAAATTGCATCAGCTGTGGAATATTGCAGTGTAATTCATACTCTGGAATGACTGTTTTTGGTTAATTTCCTTTTAAAATAAGAAATATGTCCTTCCCCTGAGAACTATAATGGGAAAAATATGCTTAAGATTGATTGGTCCATCAGTTGATCTGTTCATCCCCATACATATACATCCATCTAGCCATCCAAACTGAGATGGTGGTTTCACTAGCATTCCTATAACTCTGATTTTACCAAACAAAGCCCCTGAGCAAAGAGCAGAGGGGAAGTATAGTCCAGGCCTTTAAATTTCCACTTGCCCTGCAGAAGTGGTGGGTTTTTTTTAGTAGGATCTCAGTGTAATTCAATGGAATTCACCTGCAGGACACCAGCAGGACTGGAGGAATTTTCAGGTGTCAGAACTGCAAGTGGCTGCCTAGGGTACCGCCTCTCAGGAGTCACTGGAATAGCACAGGGACCATAATGATCACTCAGCAATACTTTTGTCCCCTGCTGCTCTTCCCAAGGCACCTGATCCTGATATGGGCTAAGTATCAGCAATTCCCACTAACATCAGTGGGAGTTAAAGGTGCTTGGTAGCTCTCAGAATTAAGCTTTGGCTTTGAAGTTTATGCCCCGCTCTAGTCCTGCTCACTCCCACCAGAAAGGGAGGCCATGTTTCTGCTCAGCCATGTGTAGTGGCTGCATTTGGCTTTCATTCCACCTCTCCCTCCCACCATGCCTCCTTTGAAGCAATGCTGCACCTAGCGCAGTGGTTTCTGGGACACATTTGGGAACAGACATCTGGTCTTCCCTGCATTTGCTTGAGGATTCCCTGGAGGAATCAGGTGTTTACTGTGAGCTTTCTCAGCCATTCATTGAAGGGACTGGGGTGAGTATTGAATCTTTAACAAAGAGAGGTTTTCTTCCTGCTGTTTTTAAGGCATCTGACTTAAATAGGAGTTATTCCTTCCCCTTTCAGTCATTCAGGTTTCATTTATTTGATACTTGGGATGACATCATCCTACTAGTTCTCCAGTTGTCCGTAGAGTCTCCTAGGATATAGAGGTTGGACAAGATATTTTTCCTAAATATGCCCCAGAATCCATTGCACCAGGTAACCTTTAATGGCCAGTGGTATGACTAATGAGTTGTGAACAATGGTTTAAGGATCATTTTTGTCACCATTGGGGTCTCCTGTTAGCTATCCTCATTGCTCTGCCTTCCCAGGCCTTTCAATCAGTCGTTAAAATAAAAAAGGATGGATCTCTTTCTTGGCAGAGTTTTAACCAATGGCATGGAATGTGCCTGGAAACATTCCAGCCCACCACTCAGAAGGAGGCATTCTTTATCTCGTCTCCCGGACTGGGACACAGAAGAATATGGTCCCATGCGGCCATTGGTTCGAAGGGTGTGGAGTGGATTGGAGCTGGACCTGCGGGCATCTTTACCAGAGAATGTGCAGAGGACTGCAGGGCTGGGGCCCTCTCTGCGGGACGCTCCTGGGGTGCTAGAGGGACAGGCAGAAGAGCTGCAGAAACTGGAACTCAACAGGGTGAAGTTTGAGCTGCTTTCCATTAAGCAGAAGGTAAACTGGAGTCTCTCCAAAGCCTGGGGGAGTTTGTGAGGACCTGTCTGATTGGGACACAGGAGCAGCTGCTGCTTTTAGTCCTTCTTCTAGACACTCGCCTGATTTTGGGGCTGACCCTGAGACATGCTAAGCACCTGCACCCTCCATTGGTTTCAATAGGAGCTACATGTGCTCAGGACCCCTCAGGCTCAGGCCTGGTGAGTCTAACCAACTCCAAGCTTCTCAGATGCAGCACATTACATCTCAGTGGTCTGGGCAGGCTGCTCACTTGCTTCCATTGGGATGACTTGAGCTGGTGTGCAGGGCCGGCTCCAGGCACCAGCAAAGGAAGCAGGTGCTTGGGGCGGCCAATGGAAAGGGGCAGCATGTCCAGGTCTTCGGCGGCGAGTCCCTCACGCTGCTGAATTGCCGCCGAAGAATGAAGTGGCGCGGCAGAGCTGCTGCCAAAATGCCGCCGATCACGGCTTTTATATATATATAAAATATAATTTGGCTTCGCCACTTGGGACGGCAAGGAAGCTGGAGCCGGCCCTGCTGGTGTGTGCCCATCCTTTGGAGGGTGAATGCAGTACAGTGGAGTGGGATGGTGCTGTTCACACTCTCTGTACCTGAGTGCTCAGTGCTTGTGGAGTTCAATGGAAAGGTCCCACTGTCTTCAGTGGGCTTTGCACTAGCTACGTTGTGTCCTGTAGCATGTGCTGTCATTTGAGGAACTAGAAGCTTGTGATCCTGGAGATCAGAGATGCCTGTTTGGGACCCTGGAGCAGCTTCTGACTTATTTCTGTTGGGAACAGTACAGCCTCTGTCATGGAGAACAGACAGTGGCACTCCTCTGGCATTGTCCTCTTCAAGGTTTAGTATAAAATTAAGTTGCTTGCCTTTGAATTCTCTCCTGACCTCGCCTTTCCCACAGCAGATGGAGAGCTCTCTCGCCCAACTAGAGAAGGAAAAGAGCTGGTTGGACCTGTCCCGCTATGAAGACCAGAAACAGAGAGGGGACCTGCAAGAGAAGTAGGTGGATTGGGGGCGGGTGGTAGGAAGGCTTTGGATTGAGACATCTAGGCAAGGAGTACGTAGGATGCAGGCAGCTGGGACAGGGTCAGAGGTACTGTACAGAGAGAGACTAGGGTGCAGAGTGGGTCGGCGAAGACGGCAGCTTAAGGAGCTTCTTGTTTAGCATGTGAAATCATTGAGCTAGAATGGAGGTTTTAGGCATACCTAAGGGAGTTATGCACCCAGAGTCAATGGGAGTTGGACACTTACCTGCCTTAGGTGCCCCTGGAAATCCTAGTCTAAATTTTTCTGTCAGCACCATATTACCCTCCCTCGGTGGCCTGTGTTCTCAGTGGGGCAGCTGCCCCAACCCAGGAGACTGGGTGGCTCGGGACTGGAGGTGGAGAGCGCCCCTAGGCATCCATGTCCACTCCAGCCCAGGCCAGTGGTGAGTGAGTGAAAGTTCTTCTCACCTGAGAGCTGTTAGTGGCTTGTGTGTGATGAGTTACTCTATCGAAGGTCTCAGTCCAGTCCTGGTGGCCCAGTGACCACACCAGAAATGCAGCCCCCAGATTTGGCAGTAGCTGTTTCCCTGGCTGGCATGCTCAGCAGAGAGGCCAGGGTTTGAATGAACTCCCCTAAGGTCAGGTTTGGAGTGGGCCCTGCTCTGTCCCTTGTACCTGTTCTGTGGATAAGCAAAGGACTTCAGTCTGTAAGTCAGCCTGGCACCTTTCGCCAGCGCTGAACTCACCAATGTAACTTACTCTTCTTCCTTAGGGAAAGGGGCTGTGGTGGGGACAGTGGCTGACAGTGATTGGCCCAGAGGTTGGGAGCCAGCATGGGGGTTGGGGCAACCTGGCAGTTTGGGTCTGGGGCATCTCTAGAGGAGGCACAGGGAACAGCTGTTGGACAAGGGGTCCATTTGGAGTGTGGGGGTGAGGACAGCTGTCAGGTAGTGCCCAGGCAGTGGGCATGGTGGTTGGAAAGAGGGCAGGGGAGGAGCAGTTGGGAAAGTGACAGAGAGATTGGGATGTGACAAATGGAAGCAGGATGGAGCTGCTGTCTGTCTGTCTGTCTTTTAGGATCCTTAATTTGGAGATGGAGGTGGTGAAGGCCAAATCCTGCTTGAGCAGAATGAGCTGCCGCTCGGTCTCCCCAAGTCCCAGACAGAGGTTGTCTGCGGTAAGGAAGGCCTGGCAAACCCCAGTGGCTATTACCTGAGGCTGGGCCCAAACATTTCAGAGAAGGCATTGCACATAGTAGGGGACAGAGCCCTGGCATCGGGCAGTGGCACATTCAACTGCCCGCAGTAACGATTGCAGTACTGAAACAGGGCAGGGGCACTCGCGATTGCATGCACTCGGATGCAGCACTGGTACAAGGCTGCAGCCCTTGGAATTGCACAGCAGAGGTTGCATGATTTTGGGGCAGTGAGAAGACCAAAAGGTTAATATTATGTGTCCTGATTCCTAAAGTCCGTGTAGGCTTTTTCAGGCTGCTCTGGAGCCTCACTCCCCTGCACATACTCAGGGTAAATCTTTGAGGGACGAGTGCAGGAGTTGCCATCCCATGTGCTCTGTGTTGGACTCTGCTGTGTGACTCTCCCTGTTTGCTCCTGGACTCCCAGCCAGCAAACCCACAACAAGGACAGATCTAATTAGAGGACACTCAGGAGCTAAATATAGCACAGGGCTAGGGGAGGAGAGGAGCGATGACCTTCATGCTCCCTGCTGTTAGTGGCCTGTGAAGTCTGGGCAGACTATGAAAAGCCCTTGCTCCCATGGAGCAGTGGGACTGGCACTGTGATCAGAGCGCAGAGGCTGAGGGCAGGCTGACCCTGGGTATTCCATGGGAAGGCAAAAAGATCTGCTTGCCCTTTTCTTCCCTGCCAGGCCCGCTCTGCACACAGGCTAGGTACAATCCTAATCTCTCAGCTCAGGGAAGAGCAGGGACTACTCCCTCTGTGTGTGTGCAGGGAGCAATCTTCTTGAAAGGAGGCAAAAAGGGGCCCCCAGTGCTACAGCTCTCCCCCGTCCACACTGGCTGGCTGGCTACAGAAAGGGGAACACTTTGCAGAGGTGGTGAATCAGGTGAACCCCTCCCCACCTCCTTGTATCTCAGGGATTGTGCCCCCAGCCCCTCCAGTAATCTTGCCCTGCGGAGTGCAGCTCCACACCACCCCCAAGGCCAGGCAGGGAGTAATTGGCACAGTCTGTCCCTTAAAGTGACAGGCACAACAATAATACTTCCAGCAGACAGACATGCTTGTTCTTTCTCACTTGGGCACAGGCAAGAGCTGGTCGTATTAGGCATTACAGGCAGCACTTGTTAGGGACTGAGCCCTGTTTTGGTTAGCAGATCGCAGTATGGCTAACCCCATGTGTTCCAAAATCATGAGGCTGACTTAATATTCATGTCTTTTTTAAAGAAAACCTAACAGTACCTGGGTTCTTTCCCTTTACCTCCTGACTACAGAGCCTTTGAGTAACACCTGGGTCAAGTATTCCAGCTTTTCTCTGCAACTATGAGTGCCAGAAACATACTTTTTTTTTAACAAAGGAAAGGTGGAAATCTCCTGTAATAACATGAATCCAGCAGCTGGGGCTTTATGAAAAGCACCAGGTATTGCGAGACTCAAGGTCAAATTGTGAGTTGGTCACACTAGGATTGTTCATGAGCCGAACCCACGTCCTGCAAACAAGCATTTACTCAAGCACTTCCAGCCTGGGAGAGGGTGGGAGGAACAGTTCGCAATCTGTTTGCGCTGAGTAGGCAGTGCTAGCTATTTGTGAGGTGTGAATGGTCACCATACTTGAATGGTATTTCTGCTGCCTGATTGGTTGACTGATCCTTTTTCAAATAGCAGAATGATGAATGTTTGTGACATTTGTGCTAATGTTTGTGAAACAATCAGGATTTGTGAATATTTTCACCAACGCCTGGCAGTCCTGCGGATACTTGTGAAACAGTCAGTCGTTCAACCAGAAGGGATGGGTTGGAGGCAGGATTCACTGGGTGAGATTCTCTGGCCGGTGCTGTACAGGAAGTCAGACGAGATGATCATTATGGTCCCTGCTGGCCTTAAAAATCTCTCTCTTTATGTGATTGCAGCAAACCAAACTGGGTGGCTTTTATTCCCATAAATATCTGCAGATCAAGCGGTTGCTCTGTGCATGCTAGGGGGTGGTTCGTGACTTTGGTGCCTCATCATAGCTGGCTGATGTATCCATTGTGTTGATTTGCAGGAAAAGGAGGAGCTGAACCGAGAAATGACAGCTCTTCAAGAAACCCTGAGTGGTTACAAGGAGCACATGAAGGTTCTGGAAGCAGAACGGGATGAAATGACCCAGCAGCTGAACTCAGCCAAAGAGGTTAGTTCCTTGGTCCAATGCACACAATCCCCTTGTCACTGTCTAGGGATATGTCTACACTGCAATAAAAAACCCGTGGCACTGGGTCTCAGACTCCAGCTCAACTGTCTCACGAGGCTCAAGCTGTGGGTCTAAAAATTGTGGTATAGACATTTGGGCTCGTGTTGGAGCCTGGGTTTGAGACCGTCCCCGTTGTGGGTCTCAGAGCCTGGGCTCTATCCCAAGCCCTTATGTCTACACTGCAATTTTTAGCCCCACAGCCCGAGCCCCACGAGCCCAAATCAGTTGACCCGGGCTAGCTGTGGCCGTGCCGCAGGTCTTCCGTTGCAGAGTAGGTGTACCCAAGGGGGCTGGGAAAGGATTCACTGCACTATTTAGGCACCAATTTGTAATGAGTCCATGAGCTCCAGAAAATAGACACAATTAGAAATGTCACATGTTGGATCTGGGACTGGACCCCTCACTCCTTCCGCTCCAAAAACACACCTGCTACTGCCTGGACTCAAAGCAATCGCATTTAAATTGTGTCTTGTCAGAAGGCCCGCAATGTACCAACTCACTCCAACATGCCATGCCTGTACGTTACAATCTATACTCTCACATGCTTCCTGACCTGTCCACTCACATCTGTATCTTCACTGCACCCCACGCTCCTTAGGGACGGGTGAACCTCAAACCATAAACACTCCAAAATGTGGATGCTCGTTCTCAGTCTACAAATGACGCTGCTCGACAGGCGTAGCTCTATGCGTTTTGCCGCCCCAAGCACGGCAGTCAGGCGGCCTTCTGCGGGTCCGCTGGTCCTGCGGATTCGGCAGCGTTTCTGCGGGCAGGGCTGGCTCTGGCTTTTTTGCCGCCCCAAGCAAAAAAAAAACCTGTGGCACGGCCGGAGCGGCAAAGCAGGAAAAAAAAAAAAACCCTGCGGAGCGGCCGGAGCCAGGGTGCAGGGGGACTCCCTGCACTGCAGACGTGCCCCAGCTAGCGGGGGGAGGGGAAGGTAGCGGGTGGAGAGAGAGAAGGGGGGCAGCCAGGGCTTCAGCAGGGCGCTCGCCACGCAGCCCCGACCGCCGCGCCACCTGCTGGGAGGGCTCCGCGCCGCTCCGGTCGGCGGGGAGGGAAGGACGCGGGCTGCCCTGCCAGGCTTGCTACAGACCTGGCACCGGCTGGGGGCAGGACGGAGCACGCAGCCCGCTCCTA